AAAAAAAAAAAAAAAAAAAAAAGAAAAGTCCTAAAATTATGTACATATTAGACCATTTTCGTTGAAATTTATAAACAAATATTTCTCTCTCAAAAGTATTATTCTTTTCACTCTTCGTTGAGATTTATAAATTTTTTGAGGTAAATATTTTTTATATATAGCCAAGGCCAAGTAATCAGGACCGACCCTATTACTGGTCTCATGATACCCCTGCGTTATTCTTCATTAGGTCGCTTCATGACGTCCAATGACCCGACCTACAGGTCGTGACAATCTCCTCACTTGACCGAGCTCTCAAGTGAGCTCGACTTTCAAGTCCAACCTCATCATTGGAGTTGACCCGTACCTTAAGCTGCAATAATGAGCTTTTTGACGAGGTCAAGCCTTGAGATTGATCTGAATTCACCTTGGGCCGGTTCGCCCAACCTAAACACTCTAATCGGTCTGCCAGGCTATTATCATTATTATATCAATATTTCCAAATGTAATATATGCTAAATTGAATATTCATCAAAATTTCACTTTTTTCTTTTACATGTTCACATTTTTAATATACTTTTGAAATTAAAAATGAATTATTTATATACTTGTGTATAAAAAATGTATTGTTCATGCACCCACATGTTTAAAATTACCTTCTCATTATTTTACTATTTCTTAATCATCTTAATTAATTATTAGTAGATATAAAAAAATAAAAACAAAATGAATAAAATGGAGGACAAGCCCATTAATATTGCAATTTATCAGCTTTAACGGGACAGTGCCCCAATTTTCTCTCGAATTTGCCCTAATCGATCCATTTGCAGAGGAGCTTGGGGACTAAGAACGGAGGAGGTAATTCTTCTTCCCTTCCTGAATACCCGAGCAGTGCAGATTATGAAATCGACGAGTACATATAATACCCGAGCGAGTCACTATTTGACGACAGACGCACATAAATCCTTGTGACGGCCAGTAAGCATCGCCGCATCGAGCGCCGATCAGGTTCGGTGATGGGGTTCGAGGCAGCGGACGAGCTGGTGCACCGGGTTGCTTACGCCTCCAATGTACGCGAAATAATGGATGCGTCCACCGACAACCTTGAAGTCACCTGGGAAGCCATAAAGCTGAATCTCAAGAACGATTCGGTGGGTGCTTGCTACTTCTTTCTTTGCATTACTTTAATTTCTTCATTTTTCTGTTGTGTCATGGGTTCTTTTTGTGTTGGTGCTCTGAATGAGCATCATTATCCACTGTTAGATGAGGTTAAAAGAGATTAAAATGGTCAAATATTTTTGTAATCGGATGTTATTATTTTTTAATCAGGATAGTCTGCATATTTTATATTGGGAGACATGCGGAAAGATGCCATCTTTGGACCTTCTCTTGCACTTTTGGTGGGTGGTAAAATAAAATAGTAATTGCTTTAGGTTGATCAAAGACTGTTGTGTGGACAGACTCAAAGACAAAGGTTTGTGTTCTTGTGCATTTCATTTATATACACTTCCCAATTTAATGCAAATGCACGATATCTCCTTAGAACGGCTAAGTTTTACGTTGGCTCGCCAAGCCTATCACAACCCTCCTCCTTTACCAGGGCTTAATGCAAATGCACGATACTAAAACTTTTTACGCATCAATCCCCTTGCTTGAGAAAACTCATCATGGAGTTTGAATGCTTCATCTCCATGATAACGATATAAATCGGATTCAATGAAAGTTCAATGGTTTCCCAAGTGTTGAGGCCTGGGGAACATCAATTTCATAGACATTTTATCCAATCTTTTTATAAGTCTATATATATGGCCTTGTCCTATTCTTTCTCCTTATTCTTTATGAGCTTTGAATAGTCAGTCATCAATGAATGAAATGAATAATGAATAAGTGGTGATAGGGTATGTCCTTAACATTGAAATTTATACAGCATTCCTCGTCAGCATTCTTCTTGTAATTCATGATTGAATCCTAAATTTTTGTGATGTTTTGAGAAGCTCTTCCATTATTTTAACCATATTTTCTCTTTTGCCATACACGATTTCAAAAGGGCTTTTACCAATACCCTTATTCCACAAATAATTGTAAGCAATTTTTGCTTGCCATTCCATTAATTTTTTATTTTATTTTTGGATTGTCTCCAATCAAGCTTCGCAATCGGTTTCCCAAGCTTTTATCAACAACTTTCAGTCTTCCCATATGTTTGAGAGGATGGTGGATATTGCTATATAGAAAACTATCCTTAGCTTCCTCCATAATGACATCAAAAAATGCCATATAAACTTGGGATCTCGGTGTAACAACCCATTTCTTTAAGATAAAGATTTGTAACATGAGTATCTGCGTCTTGTTGCAGCAAACGAAATACACCATCTTGAACGATCAACCACAACATAAATATTCCAACTTAACCCTTTGATTAATACACAATTCTGTTATTCTTGACAGTTCACACACACTCAAATAAGGATGTGATTTGGTTCCAGAGGTTGGGTGAAGTCATGCTCTGGCCTTAGAATTTCTGTTAGGACTGGTTGTCACTTTTTTTGGCAATGTCATCCTGCTCCTGTGGTTTACTTATGTTCCAGTTGGGAAATATATTTATCCTGAAGTTCTTCAAATTATTACCTAATGTTTATTTAATAGATCCAGAATGTTTTTTTAGCTGTAGATTTATAGGATTTCAATGTGGGGATAGTGTATTCTCCTTTTCTTTTTATTTCCAGTAGATTATGAGATTCCATAGGATTTTTTGCAAAAAATATATTTTTACAGGATTTGATGTTCATATAGTGATTTCGTTACTTAAATTCTAGTGCTTCTTCTATTAGTGAAGTTTCTAGAAAAAAATATATCAAACGACGCAACGCACCTTGAGTCGCTATGGAAACAGCCTCCTTGTATAATTACAAGGGTAAGGTCTGCGTACAACTGACCCCCCAGACCCCAACCTGTTGGGAATATACTGGGTATGTTGATGTTGATGATAGTGATTTCGTTACTTAAATAGATGTTTCCTTAGTCAATAACCTTCCGTCTGACTTTCCTTTCATGTATGGATGGAGCTATTCACTGGGGCATATCTTTTTGTTTGTTTGCTATTCGTTCCTCTGTTTTTCTTTAGATTTATTTTTGTTGTTTCATGGGAATGAGGTCTCTTATGTCAGTCGCTTCAAAAAGGTTTTGCAGGCGGAGGAGGTAAGAAGATGAATCTTAGAAAACAAGACAGGAATTTCATGTGTGTATTGTGTGCAGAAACACGAAAAACATTTAGTTTGTGTCTGTGTGCGCCCTTGTGAGAATCCTATCCTTGCTGAGTACTATTATTACTATATTTTGTATGCCAATGCATTTCTTTATATATGTTAGTTCAGTGCAGTCAAGTGTGCTTGTGGAAGGTTCAACCATCATAAACATTTTAGGATATAATGGCGAGTGAAAACTTAGAGAGCATCAGTTCATATCAATATGAAGGTTCTGTCAAAAAACAATCCTCTCCCACAGGAATCATGATAAGCATAATGGCAGTTGTCATTCTGAATTTTGATGCTGTCTTCTGTTTCGTGTATTGTAGCATGTGTTCATGAAATTGTTAGAAGACAACTCTTGGGAATATACAAGAAATTTTAATTTCAAAACCTTTATATATGAAGAAAGAATACCGACTTTGTTTAATAGTTGAAGTAAATAACATTTTTGGTTTATAAATTATTTTGTCGATATCCGTGACAGTTAAATAAAATGACTTATGTATTCTTTTGTTTCAGATCTGGGAATCGAGATTTCACATTCTTGTTAAACTTGATAAATTGCGTGAAGAATTGACATTTCTGAACTCCAACGCTGATGATGATGCCATCCTCGATAGTGAACTTTTTTGGTGAGCTACATTAATATTTAATGCAAATTTAGTTTACTGGTCCTACACTTATGTACTGAATATTGCTTTGCTAGCATGTATATGTGTAGCTCTTTGCCTCGCAGATCGTATGACAATTTTGTTTTCTATACTCATTACGGGTTGCTCCTCTCTTAGAAGGGACAACTTTCATGTTCAAATTGATTATCCATAAACTGAATTATTCTGCATAAAATTTCTCTGCACATCCTTGAGTTCAATTATCAAAGATGATTGGGTTACTGAGGCATGGAAGATTTGTTTTGTTCTTGATTGGTGCTTGATTATCTATGTTTTATCAATTAAACGATAACCAGACATGAAGTTGCTTCCCAGCCTCAGGCCATGACTGGAATAAACTAAGTTGCTATTTTTTACATTAGAATAAAATGAATGGCATATTGCACACAGAAATGAATTATGAACACATAAATTACAATGCCAGTATGTTGTGTTCTTTTT